CACACACACACACACACACACACACACACACACACATACACACACACACACACACACTTACACACTGACGTCGTCATGACGCAATGAAATCATTTGTCTTTGAATCGCAAACAAACATAATTGAACATTGTTCGTACGCAATAAGCAAATGACATGCAGCGACATCACTTGGGCTCACACCAGTATAAGCAAAGGACACACTGTCATTAAAAAAGGGAAAAGCCTTCGAAGGCAATCGTATTTCAAAGTTCCCACAAAAGGTCACGTCGTACACATATGCCAACCCGGCGCCCAGACAAGTAACCCGCCCCCCCCCCCCCCCCCCCCCCCCCCCCCCCCCCCCCCTTCGTTGTGCACCATCTTCACAACCACAAAACGTGCTCGCGACATGCAACCTCGTCACGTCGCCTCCGCCACCGACGACATCCACTACCAGTGTCGAACAAACCACCGCCGCCGACATTGTGTGTGTGCCCACGCAGTCCAAAAATACACAAGGAAAAAAAAAAAAAAGAATAAAATCTACAACTTCTACCGAATCAAATGAAGACACCTACGCACACTGGCTGCGAGAGACGCGTCGTGCACGCGGACCCAGAATGATGCTACCACGCCTGTAGTATACCGCCAGAAAACAGAACACGACAGCACAAATGACGACAACGTAGATGACAACCGGATGATGAACACGGCGTCTGACGACAATAAAAAAGCACATTCCAACGGCAGGAGACTGGAGGGCAACATTCTCGTGACGATACGACACCGGCAGTGGATGGGGGAAACGGACCTCCCCTTCTTTCCCACCGCAGAAGCTCTTCAGTGCCTCCCCGCTTCGGTCTGTTCCATTCTTCCGCCTCATCTGGGCGATCGCGAGGTCTCGACATGCACCCATGGCCATCGTCACTGCGCACTCATTCACTCCGCCAGCACGTCCCTCAAGATTAGCGCATCTCCTGTTGATGATTCCATTCACACCGGCCTCAATGGTTGATGTATCCCAAGATCAACTTTACGACGAACGTCGTCCGAAAACACCTCCCACAACAGATTGCCGGCAAACGGGATGTCTGCATCTATGTTGTGGAGGATGCAGACGACCATAAATTGCTGCAGCGGGGTGTCCATGTTGCACTTGGGGGTGCAGAGGAACAACCTCCACATCCCCTTCAGTCTGCCAAACGCCCTCTCTACGGCTCCGCTCGCTGTCTTCTGTTTGTTGTCGAAGCGTATCTCATACGAATGTTGCGCGAGACCGCCGTACGGGACGACTATCCACTCAGAGGGGGGATAACCATTGTCGCCCAGCAAGTACCTTTTCGTCCGCACACCGAAAGGCAGCATGACAGGTGGCACAGTGAAAAGCTCCCCTGCCTCCGCGCGCGCCCATAAACTCGACAGGTGGATGATCCTCACGTCTTGGCAACTTCCTGGATAACCGACGAACATATCCAGCATGCGCAAGTTCATATCGACGACCACCTGCGCCTGGATGGAGAATCGACGTTTCCTATCGCTGTAGTCCCCGTCGTTGGCATTGGTGGGCTTGCCGATGTAGATGTGGGTGCAGTCGATGCACCCATGGTAGTTCGGAAAACCCTTGTCGGCGAACGCATGCAAGACGATCGCCTTTTGCAAACCTGTGGGCCAGGATATCTTATCGGGGTACGCGCTCAGCAACACAGCAGTCACATCCCGCACCGCCGTCAAGCCGGAAGACCTGCCCATGTCGAAGCTGCACGTCCCGCTATCGTGTGTCTCCCCAACGCCCACCTATACAGAGCGTACGCGACGATTTGGTCTAGCTGCAACGACACCCTGTAGAACGTCACATGACGTTTTAGGTATGGAGAAAGAGTTTCCGTGATTTCGCGGAAAACACGTGGCTACATTCAAAGCTTCTCCTTGAAGTAATCTACTATGGCTTCATCACATTGCCGCAGATCCTCCCACGTAACCCCCGTCCGTCGCTTCATCCACCACCTTGGAGTCGCCCATGGAAATGTGACGCACCCCATCGCGTAGCACACCTGCAAAATGGCATCCCAAATGGCACCAATGTCGAAGCCATCGCCAGTCGTCGGCAGCGTCGTCAGCTTGTGGCGTGCATGAACAACCATTTTCAACTTTCCCTTGCTGCTCTCCATTTGGCAACGGAAGAGGACAACATACACGGCCGCAACGACGACCGTCCTCTCCGCCATTGTCAGCACATCACGGTCATCCTCGCCGTCGATATCCATCCTCGACGCCACTGCAGTGGACATGGACGTCAATATCAAAACAACACTCCACGAACACCGCCACGCGGACGAAAACAGTGCCGCCTCGCCAGACAACCCTGAACGCCACGCGACGACGACGGACGTCAGCCTGCGACGCTGGCGACAAGTCGATAGCGTCTCAGCTTCTTCGAAGGCGCACAGGTGCGTACCCCGTTGACACTGAGACCGCCGACCAACGTCGTCACTTAAGCGAACGCGCCCGCACGCTGGACGTTGCTGCCGTCAAATTCAAAAAACAACGTTCTGTACGCGTCGCCACTCACATTGCGAAAATTCGAATTTCAAATTTTGAACGGATAGGCTGCGCGCCTTTTCCAATGGCCCCTTCATTTTCGAAAGCCGCTGTCTTTCAAAATCGCGACGCCCAATAAAGGTGGACCAACGTCGTCCGCACAGACACATCTCCATGGACCACTGTCAGCCCCACCCCCACGTCCGGTTGTACATATATAAATCTGGCCGGGGGAGCCCCGAGGAATCGTCCTCGGGGGAAGTCTCCAAGGATGAGTGGAACGAAGGCGGGAATTTCCTTGGGCGACTCCAAGGAATCGTCCTCGGGGCTCGAGGACACCCCGAGGAGTGTCAAACGAGCCCCATTGTCCTGAATGTGGGCGCGGTACTCAGTCTGGTGTTTAACCTGCACAACTTTCGGGGTTGGGCTGCCCTTCTGCCATTGATAAATTTCATAGGTGGTTATTGTCACGTTTCAGACCAGTGAAACTCGTGGTGAGGGGCCGCCGCTGATGTGTCCCAACTACTTTTTCAAAGTCGCAGACAACCACTACTGTATGGTTTGGCTGGATGGACATCCAACGAAACTCCACCCTGTACTTCCCTAAAGTTGCGGCCATATACAAGCCCAATATTTGTTTCTCAAGCAGGGGAAAGGTACGAGTGGTTGCAAGCCCCTTTTTCCCTACGCGTACTTCTGGTGAGCCCCTTTTTCCCTCTGCTTAGGGCCTCGTTCCATTACTCGCCATCTGCCGCGCGTGCCAGATGTGACTGCATTCCACTGCGTCGCCAATAGCCACAAAATGGACGCTGTCAGAATTTCGGTCTGAAATTGCTTGGCGATCAGTCGCCAAGGCCGTCCATTTTCCCCGCCTGCAACGACCCTTCCTGGAGGGCGGTACCCTCATCCATCCGCGAGCAGCTTCGTGTGGC